AGAGACAGGGGCAGTGGGCCCGGGCTGGGGGCTGTGAGGAGGGGGAGGCAGCTTGCGGAAGGCTGTGAGAGAGGAGGAGGGTTTAGGAGAGGGAAACCGCGGGAGGGGAGAGGCTGTGGGGAGAGGGGGAGACCCGAGAGGGAGACCGGGGTAACGGGGCGGGGGCTGGTGACGTTTGGAGGTGGGAAGCCCCGGGGCAGGTGAGGAGGAAGGAAGTTGTGGGGAGAGGGGGACCCGCAGGGGCGCAAGGAGGCTCTGGTGTGAGGGAGAGGCAGGCTGTAGAGGGGAGAGGGTGTGGGGAGGAGCATTTGGGGAGAGGGGAAAGCTGCGAGCAGAGGATTTGTAGGTGGAGAGGGCTGCCTGAAGGAAAGGGGTTTTATCTAATGGGTTAGAGGGGAGCAGAAGCAGTGTTATGTCTCTGGCCCCCCTCTTCTCCCCTTCCCAGCGACGATTTTGGGTGGCCCTAATAAACTAATGTCCTTTTTCCGCTGTCTTTCCTCTTCCTCCAGAGGGTGAGAGGCAGCTTCCCATGGGCATTCCTCTCAGGCCCTCTTCCCTTCTTTTTCCTTCCTGGTGTGCTCTTGCCCAGCAGTACAGATACGACCTGCTTCTCACCCACCACTACCATGATATTAATGAAATACCTCCATCTTCTTGCCAGCCTGTGCTGGGGTGGGACTGTCAGAGGCTGGTGTTGTGTAACTTGCGTGCCAAAGGGGACACAGAAAGTCAGCGATACCTTGGCTTCCAGTCAGCACAGTGGGAATAATAGCTGTGCCCTTCTGCAAGGAGCTGTATGGGGATCAAAGTTCATGAGGCAGTCTGATCCAGCAGTAACGATGAGGATTTGAGATTGTTATTGAGGGGCCTGAAAGTCTTGCATCAGTGAATTAACCTTCTGCCAAGTCCAAAGTGCTCCTAACTTAAAATGTGGTTTATGTGTGGAATGGGAGAGTCTTCTGTTTTCTCCCTCTCCAAGACCTCTGACTTTTTAATAATTTCATTAGCTTTTAATTTTATTTTTAATTTTCTGATATCTGTAGCTTGAGGTACAGCAAGTAAAATGCTGAATTGTTCCTCACTCACTGTCGAGCCTGAGTTTATTTTGTTCTTCTGTCCCTAGAGGCCTTAGTTATTAATGACCCTGACTTCCAGCACGAGGATTTGAACTTCCTGTCCCGTAGCCAACGTTATGAGCAAGCCATCAGGAAGAGCTCTCTGATGGTGATGAAGTTAAGAGAACATGGAATTGCTGATCCAGACGAGATCTACTGGTTTAAAAGGTATCTAGTTGTAGAGTTTGCTTCTTGTATGTACTTTGATCATCACCAAGGTCACTAGAGTTGTGTTTTTTTCCCTATGTTTGCTGTCCAAAGGAAGCTAAAGAGCTGTACGAAAGCCCACTGAAGTCTGGGCTTCAGTGAATGTCAGATGAAACCCTGATTTCCTGACTATTGTGTTTTCTTAGATTTTTGTCTAGAAATGCACCATGAATAATAACACCCTCTTTATAATGTATGGTGCAGAAAGTAAAAAATGGGACTTGTACTCTGGTTTTTTTTTTTTTTCAAAAGGAATAAAAAAATATATTGAAATATTTTGAATCTTTATAGATCTGATGAGATTGCAGCTTCTAATGAAATCTCTTAAAGCTGATTACTTCATTTTGCACTTGAACCTAATAAAATTGCATTGCAGGCATACTTGAAAATGTTCCAAGATAGTTTATAAGTTCTAAGATAGTTTATAAGTTCTTGTTTATAACTATCTGTCCTGTCTCACTCCTTCAAGCTCCTGGTACTGTAGTGTTCCCCTTTCATCTAGAGGCTTTTTGTTGTATCTGACCTTTTGTTTATCTGGTAGTGTTACCCTTGGATTAAGTTAATAAAAATAAAACTATCTTTACATCTAAATTTCTTTCCTCCCAGCTTGCAGGGAACTTAGTTCTGACTTGGAACTAAGTTGGGGAAATATATCAGTCAAACTCATTCTGATATAATCAAACAGAAACTGCTTAACAGATTGCACAGGTCTAGAAATCTGGACGTAATACTATGAGTATATCCTCTGGCACATTAAATGAACACAGCACTTAAATAATAATTCAGTAGAATCACAAACCTCTTCTGACTAGATTTGTAGAAAACCTGTCATTGGCCTCAGGTCATGAGTACTGGGACTAGTTCATTGAAATCATCTTGTCTGCTGTAGTTTTAATTTCAGAGAAATTGGTATACACTGACCCATGTCATGAAAGTTCTCATGGAAATAAGTATATGTTATTTTGAAAATTGACATCAGTGGACAGTGATAACCAGAAAAAAGTTCAGTGACTGTATTAGATTCAGGTACTGATGGCAGAAGTTAATCATTAATTTTTCCTTCACAACAATTATTGGAGGTAATAGGGAAGATTCTTTAATTATGTTTATGGAGAAAATTCAGAGAAGTCGATCCAGTATACCAGCTGGCAAACTTCAACAAAGCTTTCAATGAAAATGCTGTCTTTTGGTAGCATTACTGACAATATTTTATGAAAACAGGACTTTTCTGAAGCAGTCAAATGATAGATTCTAGTTTTTTCTTTCCATAAACTTATTTGGAAGTCAGCAATTCTTAATTTTAACTGAGTAAAAGCTTAGTATTTCATATAGGAACCAAATAATACACCTGTATCTTAGGTGATATGAAGAGGTGGATGTGACTAGTCAGAATTCATGATCCAAAATCAACTGAAACGAGGAAGACTTACTTTTTTCAGAGTCAGTTCTAGTTGTAGACATTCAAGATTTCAAAATAAAATTGAAATTACTGTAGTCTGACTGTATTTTCCAGTGTCTCATCTAGTACTATGTAGAAGAGTGAAGAGCAGTACATATATTTCTTAACTACAAGTGAAGTTTGTTTGCTCTAAGAACTGGATGCTGTTCATATTCTAGATTTGAGTTCTTTACTACAATGTCTGGTGTTTGCAAGGGAGGATATTGTCTTTCTGCTTCTCAATAAATGTAAGAAATGAAAGGATTTTTTTTCATCCTTTGATTTTATTTTTTTTTTGTATTTTACCATCTGTCCCCACTTTCTGACTTGCTGAGTGTCAAACATTTTATTTTTTAAAAAAAACAACTTGGTGAACTCCACTCAACTTGCAAAATTAAGTTTATTTCTATCGCGCATTCAAACATACTAATTGGTGCTAACACTAGGGACAGATTTCTTTACATAAGCAGTTTTTGAGAATTTTGAGCTAGCTGTTTTCCTGTAGCTTTTGTATATTACCAGAACTTCACTAGGTAGCTTTGCATCATGACTGAGCGACTTTATAGCTTGATTTATGAACAGGCAAGGAGAAATGCTTCTTTCTTCAGCTGTCCTGGAGTTACGCTTAAACAATTGATGCTGTTGTGACATGGTGAACTGAATGTTCCTTCTCCCTGTTTCCACAAGGGCTTTGTTGCACTCAAAACCATAAGAGGATCTATTAAATATATTTAGAAGCCATTTTAATTGCTTCTCATCTAGTCAATTCTTCCTGTGTCTTAACATGTGTCAGTGCTGCAGTTGCTGCTGTGACTACAACTTTTGAAGACCAGCAGCCTTAAAGTGCCAATATTTAAGCTTTTTTTTTTTCACAGTCTAACTGAAGCAAAATGTAAGTCAGCATGAAAAATGGGAGATTGTTCTGACATGTAATGCTACACAGCTCTTTGAAGAGAGCAATCTGGTCAGTTTTAATTTACATTAAAGTTTAAATAACCATTGAGGAAAATGGGATTACATGAAGAAGTGAAAAATGGTTGGGAGAAGCTGTGTCACAGAAGAAGGGATCCGAGAGCTGCAAGTCAACAGATGATTCCTATGTTCATAAGCATTGAATGAATGTGTACTTTCCTTCTAAGAATTTGTCCTAACTTCTATTTTGACACTAAAGTTAGGGCCAGGAGTATCTTTCAGCAAATCAAACCAGAAAAACAGTAGTGGGATCCTCCTAGCCACTGCTAAACTAATTTGGAGTGGATGAATCTGACTTGGGTTTTTTGATACAGCTAGGAAAGGAGTTTAGTACCATAGCATTTGTTGACTCTGAAGTGCAGTAAGCACAGGTCAGACATACCTCTTGCTTCTTCTCCACTGAGGCAGTCCTTCTGCTGTTTCTTGAGAGAGTTACCTCAAGAACTGCAAAAAGCTAGAGAAGTTTGTTTGCAGATTTTGCTTTAAAGTAAATGACCTCATTCTGTGACCCAGTTCTGCATCCTGAGAATGTCTTGGCAATTGTTCATTTAGCTTTGGAGTGTCTCAAGACATAGACTTTGTTTCGGTTGTACTCTGTTCACTGATAGATACACTTTCAAACTCACCTGTGAAATACAAGTGCCTTTTATTATGTGGGTGGCATTGATTGCTGTGAAATTTGGAAAGATCTGTGTTGCTAAAGTAGCTTATTACTACACGTCCTTCTCCCGTAAGTGGATTTGTAACTGCAGCCCTTAACTCACTGATTGTTGTAGCAAGTCTGACTTCAGACCCACAGGGTGCTCATTGGCCATTTATCAAATGGCTAGTGCTAGGTGTAGCTAGCTGCCTTCAGTCCTGATGTAGTAAAGTACTTGAACAGTTACACAGGGCAGCCTTTGGAGAACAAGCTGTATGGGGAGTGGGAAATGCCAAGTGGGAATGTAGAAATTGGGAGGGGAAGGAGTAGGAGTTCAGAGAAAGAAAAAGAAGGAAGTAAAACCGGTTGTTCCTCCCTTCACAGCTAGTACGTCCTCTTTTTGCCCTGTGTCAAGGATTCTGTCTTGTCATTCAAGTTGTTAAAAGGCATGTTAAGAAAATCCTAATCATTCAGTGTGGAATAGGCAGAGATGAAGTTTCTGCTGTAAATTAGCTGGCTTTCAGTTCTGCTTTCAGCGTTGTTAATGCAAGAAGCTGTTAAAATGCTGCATGTTTGGTCAGTGAAGTAGTATGACCTTCTGACACAGGGATGTTAAAGTATCTGCTTGCAAAATGTCATTCTTTTCCTATCAGAGAAGGTGCTAGTTAAGCATGAAATATCTGACACTTGCAATTAAACTTACTGATAGGTGGTGAAAGTTGCTGATGTGACCTCTAAGGTTTTTTTCTGGAGTGTTACCTTCAGAGAAGCAGTGTCTGACCTGATTTTTTCTGACAGCAAAGCATGTGCTGCACCTTTTTCACAAGTTCTTCAGTGGCTCCTAAAGACACACAAAGAACTGTTCAAGCTCTTCCCAAGCTGCCCTGAAATAGTGTATTTCAAAGTCAGTGCTCATTTTCTCCCTGTAGGTTTGTCCTTTTGGGGCCCAAGGAGTAGATGAACAGTAATTGTGCTGTAGGCAGTGAGGAAGTAGAGGGTGCTGCTATTGCTCTGAGTCCTGGACTAAAAGAATAACTCATGTAGGAAACCACAAGAATAGTGAAAAATATTCCATCTCACTGTACTTGTAGCATTTTTAAGCCCTTGGTCACCCTGATAACTTTGGCTTTGTAAACATGTGCTGCTGTAGATGATAGAATATTTTCTGGTAAAGAGAACTCTCTGCATCGATTCCGAACACTCCAGACACTGTACCTGCACTCACACCAGATTAAAGCACAGTTAATACGTTAATCATCAGCATTAAGTTACTTGATTACAATATTTGCTCCTGGAAAAACCCATGGCTCCTTCAGTCTTGTCCATTTAAAAACTGTTTCATTTAAAATAAGTGTCTTCAACATGCAGTTTGGTGCTGAAGAACCTTTTCCTGCTTTCTCTCACCCTAAGGCTGTGTTTCACAGTTTGTACAGGAATCTGGTTTTGAATTATCAATTATTTACTCTCTGCTTCCAAGCACTCATTCCAGGTGTGGTGTAAAAGGCCAATCACCAATACTGCTGTAATTTGCTAAACTATATGCATAGCATCTGCTATGCAATGCAGATCTGTGTTGGCAACAAACTTAAATGTGCTTCCTGGACAGGTATTAATACCTTAAGATGGAAAGATATATTTCCCTTGTAGGTGTCTTGGATAGGTGGGAGAGATCTTTTATGTAGGTGTTCATGCAGTGTGCTCATTTTTTCCTCCTCCATCTTAGAGTTTGGATGGAATAAGCAATTGTATAGAGTAGATTAAAGATGAAATAACTGTTCACTGCTGAACGTTGAAGGGAAGATGCTGTCATTTACTACATAGCTTTTATACAGCAAAACTTTCCAGCGTGTTTGTGTTACAAAGCTTGTTTTAATTGAAAATGTACTTTGCCTGCCATTTTGGCTACTAAATTAATAGAGCTTTCTCTCATGAAATAACTTCTGTTTTGATGAAGCACACCTAAAATGTCTGATTTTCCTTCCGTTCCATCACTAGCCTGTAACAGTAATTTTAATCGGAGGTGAGTTCCTGATCTCACAACTGATAGAAGGAGCTACAGTGATCTTGGTCACCTAAGAAGCCTTTTCATTTCCAATACCTAGTGCTTCTAGCTAATAATGGCCTCATTCCAGGCTACCAGCAGCAGTGGGATTTATTCCCACCAAGCCTGAGAGATGGGGGAGAAAATTCATGACTATGTTTTAAGTTCCCTGTGAATCTTTGTAGAATAATATTTTTCCAGTTGCGTAGCAACAGCAGGATTCATGGGTTGAAGAAAATGAAAGAAACATTTACTTCCCCGTTAGCATTGCTTTTGATACCTCTATATTTGGAGGTTGTTTGTGGGACAAAAAAGTGTTGAAATAGACAAAGAGAATGTTTATCTTGTGCTACAGTTGGAGGAAAGCATTTCAGGATCACAGTAAGACTGAGATCCAGATCCCTCTATTTCTCTCCTGTAGAACATGCTTGGGCAATTTTCCTGAACCTTTTGGTCTCCACTTCAGCATGTTTCAAAAAACCTTAGAGACCCAAACGACTGATGCTCAGAAGGAGAAATGGCTGCCCCTGGCCCATGGAGTCAAGATAATTGGCACCTACGTCCAGACCGAAATGGGACATGGTTAGTTCCCTTCAGGGATCGATGGGTAACCTCTTTTCTGTAACTCCAGTTTGTAAATTGATAATGTTCCCTAGGTAAATCTAAAAGGGGAAAGATAAAATGATTTGGTTATCTGTTGATGTTTCCTGCCCTGTAGTCAGACAGCTGCTTCATTTCACATCCGAAAAATCACAGTTAATTTTGGTCTTTTCCAGAATGCACCTCTTAGCTGATCACTGACTTTGTAGTTGTTAACCATTGTTCTAAGCCCTGGGAGTCTGAATTTCACTTGAACTGGTTGGAATGTGTCAGTCAACAGTTCTGTGATTTTTATTTTTGCCTGAATTTGGGGCACATGTATCTCGCCTGCATAAACATGTCAGAAGTATACTTTAGATGCAATGTAGCATGGTGAGATTGTGCATTTCTGTCTTGGAAAGTAAGGTATGCTTTGCCCCTAGCGTTTTTCTTCCAGATGCTACTCTATTGCAGCTGTACAACTTCACAGAAAGATCTTGGTTTCAAAGAAGAAAAACATCTTACTCCTACTGTTGTTGAAAACAACTTTCACTTCTTCAAATGGAAGAACATTTAATGGATCATAAAACAGTCTTTTAGCCCAGAACCTGGAATTATGGCTACTAAATATCAGCAAGAATAGTTGAACAAATCAAAGACTCTAGTGCTTGTGCTGGCATCCAAACTTGGAAGGCATGATACGTACAAGTCTGAACAATCACAGAAATTAGATGTTAATGCCAGTTGCCTGGCTGTTCAGTTACAGCTACTCCTGGTAGCTGAAAAGTTTGTAGAAGGTACAATGAGGGAAACCCTGTCATCTGTTGTGCTTGGGAGAGATGATGTGAGCAAACCTAGCTCAACACCAGAAGCTGAGACAACTGAGTGGCAACACTAAATACCTGCTGACCTTGTTTGCTTTTTCACACCAACTTCTTTAAATCAGACACACATCCACACCAAAGTGATTTGTTTTACTCGGTATTTCATATTCGATCATTGCACTTTCTTGCCTGGTGATGGTCTGATTTGCTTGTAGTTGTCATGTTGTTTGATGATAGAATTAGTATTTTGACGCTTAATGGAACTCATATGGCGATAGAATGGTAAATATATTTTCCATGCTGCATAATTAAAATGCAACCATTTGGCATTCCTGCTGTGAATGTTGAGTTTCTAACTACTTCATCAGTAAAGCTTTTGCGGTAATTGTCACTGAACTCTGCTTAAGTTAATCCTAATGTTTAGAAACTAGTGATGGGGGAAACAGAGCTCTGGATTATTGAACTGAATCCTAGCCTGGATGAGTAGTTACTCAATTTTATCTTAGTGAGTACCTGCTTGATAGCCTGTGTTGATTTTAACCTGTTCCACAGTGAATAAGTCTCTCAAAAAGAAATAAAAAGCACAAATAGCACAGGGTTGAAAGAAAACAAAAAGCAGTAATAAGCATAAAATACTGTCCTGTTTCTACCTGGTTTATGGCTATTGCTAGTAAATAAGGATTTTCTTTCAGTCTTTGACTGTGAGCTGTGTACTTCTCACTAGTACTGGACTCACTTAAAATCTGATATTCCTGGTAATCCATTAGCCTTCTGTTGAGCTTGGTCACTGTTCAGTCAAAAAGCTTAGAAAACATTGCTGCTGGGATTATTAGATGGTTGAATTTATTTGTAGGTGCCTGAGAGTATCAAAGAAAAGAACCGCAGTTCTTAGGAAGCTCTAGGAATAGAACTAGTTCATATTAATGGGTGTTTAGAGGTAACACAAAAATACGTTCTTCCCACTTTGATGAGAATGCCAACTGAGTTTGAGCTAAACTCAGATCGGTGCTCTTTCCATAATGCATATCTCATGTATATATTAATATTATTTATATCATTTATATATTAACATATTCCTGTTAAAGACCAACTACATTATTTTATACGTTAATGGGCCAGATGGACACCCTTTGTACAGAAGATACTGATCCTCAATCTGTATGCCCACTATTTTAATACTCAAAGCTATCAATATTTAAAGGCATTTAATTATTTATATCAAAAAGCTTAATAGACCACTTAGCTCCCTCTTTGACAGAACTTGAAGAGTAATTCTAATGAAACGTGTTTAACTGGAGATACTTTGTGCTGGTGATTTACAAGTTGAAAAATGTTAGCTTTCTTGCCAGGTTGTTAATGTTCACCACTTTGACTTACACATGCAGAGCACTGTCCTTTTAAGAGAGCTTTTAAAAACAGCAAAAGTTGAAGGGAGTTGAGTTGGATTGTAATATATGCTAGTTGTGTCTGACCTTTAATAAAAAGTGAGGTAGATAGTACAGACAGTTAGAACTTTCCTTTTTTAAAAAAAGAAAGTTCAGTGAAAACCTAGCTCATTCAGCTTGATGAACTGTCAGGTTGTACCCTCAAACCATGGGGAGTAAAACTTTGTATCTTTGGATGAAGGCTGCAGCCAGCTCACATCTTCAACAAGCTGACATTCTGACTCAAGACTGCTTAATTTAGGGATGCTCTGGTTTTCAAGCCGTAGTGAAGGTCTGGTCTGTCTTTTGGTTTAGATTAATCCTTTTTTTTAATCAATCATAGTGCATCAAAAGTATGGGATTGTTGGCAGTGCATTTTATGTATGATTAGAAAGAAATACACTGCAGCATTTTTATTTCAGAGTAAGTGTAATTCCTTATTATTCAAGCCTGAGAAAAGGACAGTGCTCTGGATTTCTAAAATACACTTGCTGAATTCTGATTTACACACGAATCTTTTTTTTTTTTTCTTTTTGTCTCTTCCTGAATTCACCACAAATCCTCATGCTTGCTTCCTTCCCCTAACATCCCCTTCACACCCATCCCATGAAACTTCTTCACAGCTTTATTCATCGTGGACGTCCTGAGCCTCTGGACCTTCATCTGGGCATGTTCCTCCCCACTCTTCTCACCCAGGCAACCCCAGAGCAGCAGGATCGCTTCTTCATGCCTGCCTGGAACCTGGAGATCATTGGCACTTATGCCCAGACTGAAATGGGACATGGTACAGTACATTCACTAATGCTATTTCTAAGAATGGCTTTGTGTACAAAGGATTCCCCTGCCTGGGAAAAATGGTGTGTGTTTACCCCACAGTGTTTACACATGCAGTTGTGGCTAGAGAGAAAAGTGGACTGTGTCTGAAATTTTTAATACATCATTATGCCACATGCTGCTTCCCCCCCTTTTTTTTTTTAATTTTTCTCCTATGGGAGAGTTTGATGTCTGTAGTTCTATACATGAGCAATCCCAAGTGCTCTTCTTGTGCCATTCAGACCAGTATAGATTATTGCATATGGCTGTACTGATGTCAACTTGATGACATCTGTTCATTTCTACACTTACTATTCTTTCCCGTGTGATTTGTGCTATGCTCTACTTAACATTCAGTGTGATGACAGAAGGGCAGAGCTTTAAGGTATTGAAAGAGATGCCAAAAAATGTAAAAATTGCTTCTCACCTTGGAACTGACCTTGGATCAGAGAACATGTCAATGACTTTGTTCCAATGCTCATATTTTGTGGGGAGCTTTATTCCCCCATGTTTCCTTTTTAATTGAACTGTGAAATGGTTTTGGTTTTGTTGTGGGTTTTTGTTGGTTTTTTTTTTTTTAATTCTCTGTCTCAAGTAGATTTTGTTCTTTGTTGCCGTTATTTTGCTTTCAAGCTTTGAAATGGATTTTGGTAACTCCAGCAGTATTGTGAATGCAACACTTTTAATCCAAGTTTCAAAGGGAGGATATTATGCCTTGGGAAACTTTTAATTTTGACATCTGAGAGTTGCATATGAGAATTACTTTTAAAAATTGAGCAGATTCACCTTTGTTCTGAAGTGAAATGTAGAGACTGTATGAAGCATAAAGTAACTGCAAGTCTGTGGAGAATCTCTGGCAACTAGTGAGTTTTGAAGATCCTTTACCAGCAAAGTAAGTCTGTGTTAAGCTGCCTGTGGATGTCTACCATTAACTCCATGCTTTGGAAACGTGATTGCATCAAGGTGATAATCCTTTTTCATGTTGAAGCTCTTGTGTAGAGTCTAGTTTAAGCAAGTAGGCCCAGTGAGTTGGGTTTCCTTTTACACGTGCAGGGACAATGCCACACTACTGAGACAGTGTGTGTGAAGCAAGGAGTTGGAGGCAGAAGACAAAGAGTGTTCCTGGAATTGTTACCTTCATCTTTTTGCAGTCTCTAGTCTCTTCATCTACTTGCATCAGTACCCTAGCACATGCATGCCATTACTTGCTGTCTTGGAGCTATGGATCGTCTTGTTTGGGAGAAACTGCTCCATCAAGTGAGGAAAATGTAGGCCTGATGAGGGAATGAAGAGATGATGGGTAGTACTTATTTGATCTTGTGGCTGAAAAGTATATTATTCTTATTTTGCAATTTAATCAGATTGCAATTTTAGCGAAATTCAGGTGAACATGTTTTTCTGGACCTTTTTAACTGAGAAGGGGCTTCTGGTGTCTAACAGCAAAGAGGTGTCAGATTGGAGGTGCTTGGAAAACTAGTCTTAGACCACTGGGCAAAAAAAAAACAACGTGTTTTCTGAGAATTGGCTTCAGGTCCCAGAATATGGTCTGCCTCTCACTTGTTCTTCCTTAATTGGTTGATAGCTAGTCCTCTGTATATCCTAAAAGCTAAGTTAAGATTTGTACATTACTACTGGAGTTCAACTTTCCATTGTCCAATTCTGTCCTTGTCTCTGTTTTGTGACTGACTTTCTTCCAAAACAACGTGTTTACTTATTTTCAGGAACTCATCTTCGGGGTCTAGAAACTACAGCTACGTATGACCCTGCTACCCAGGAATTCATCCTCAACAGCCCCACTGTGACCTCCATTAAGTGGTGGCCAGGTGGACGTAAGTGCATCACTGTGTCTAAATCTGGAAGATGTATGGAAAAACTTTGTGAGGGGATGTCATGTATTATAGCTACAGAATGATGGTTGAAAGTTGATCCAGAGAGTTGGCTGAAAGGCAGTTAATCTTGCACAACAAGTCACAGACTTGTCAGAGCCTACTAAGCTTTGGATTATATGTGTGCTGTGGATGTTTCTCAGAATCAGTCATGCCATATGGATTTTGTAATTTTTGATTGGTTATATCAAAATCTTCATACCTCCTTCAGCTCCACTGGCAGGTTTGACAAGGACTTGGTATTGTATAGTCAAGAGAATCGTATTTTGCAAATTTCATTGGCTTGAGCAACACTGCTTGTCTAGCTCTTGAATTTGGATGTTAACCAGTGCTGTAAATCTGATTTTCTAACGCGTGATGTAGTTAAGGTAGTCTCAGATCCTGCTTTAAGGTAAGAAACTCTGTATGTATAAGTATGTTGACAGTTTGTTTTTTCCTTCTGATTCCCACTTCTTTTGCAGTTGGAAAGACATCGAACCATGCCATTGTTCTGGCTCAGCTCTACACTCAGGGCCAGTGCAAAGGGCTCCATGCCTTCATTGTTCCCATACGGCAGCTGGGCACCCATGAACCCTTGCCAGGTAAAAATTAATGTTAAAACTTAGCACTCATGGAATATGTTATATCTGTTTCTCTCCAGCTCTATGCAGCTGCATGTCTCTTGTTAATGTATGTGGCTTATTTCGGTAACTAATTTCAGTGAGAAGTTAGTAGGTCACAGGGCTCAAAGAAGTCTTATGACTGAACTAACGCTAAGTCAGCTTTCATGTCACACTTTCAATATGAAGGTTACTTTGGGATTTGATTCTGTCCCACTATGCATTCTGTGAGGCAACATGTCCTACTTTCTCAAAGGAAAACAATCCCTTTCATCATTGTCTAGCTAGAAGTGAGTGCAAAAATCTTTAGAGACAGCTTCCCCAGTGACTGCATAGTAGGACTGCTATAAATTATGGAGATCTCCATGTTTTGATTTCCACTTTTCCATCAAAGAGATTAAGTTCCTAGTCAGCTGTTATTCTTAACGATGCCAGGACTTTCTAGAAAACTAAACAGTCTCTTTATTGGAGCTCTTGTGTGGTGTTTAGTTCCTATTCCTTAATGCAAGTGGCTTTGTCTGTGGCAGGTATTACAGTGGGTGACATTGGGCCAAAATTCGGTTATGATGAAATGGATAATGGCTACTTGAAAATGGACAACTTCAGAATTCCTCGGGAGAACATGCTGATGAAATATGCCCAGGTAAAGCAGTGAATTTCAGCATGTGCTGTTAGTAATGGACACTTCAGATGTACTTGTGTGCTTGAATAGGTACCAAGATTGTAGGTTGCTTGTAAGTGCTACTTGATGAGTTTAGAGATTGAGATGTGAACATGTAAAAGGGAGGAAACTTTAAAAATCAACAGGCTGTTGTTTGTATGTGTGTTTTTTTTTTTTCTTGGTAGGTTGAACCAGATGGCACCTATGTGAAACCACTGAGTGACAAGCTGACCTATGGGACCATGGTGTTCATCCGATCTCTCATTGTGGGCGATTCAGCTCGTTCCCTGTCCCGGGCGTGTACCATTGCCATCCGCTACAGTGCAGTGAGACACCAGTCTGAGCTAAAGCCAGGGTGAGCACGGTGAAATAAGAGCAGCCTTAAGTGCTGAGCAAAAATTCTCAGATACTGGAGAGAAGAGGAACTGTGGTTGATGTTTGCTTTGGGACTTGATAATTTCAGAACACTTTCATCCTGAGAAGGGAGTAATCTTTTCATTCTTGACTGCCAAAGTGCCTTCTCCCCAGCCAGAGGCTTTTGCTGTATGGTCTTAAGAGAGTCTGGCTTGATATGGATAGAGCTTGTACTGTCCAAGTGGAGAACCTACTTAGAGTCAAATAGGAATTCTGCAGCAGTTTGCTAGCTACTGGCATACTTACTTGTCTGTATTTTGCTCTAGAGAACCGGAACCCCAGATCTTGGATTATCAGACCCAACAATACAAACTCTTTCCTCTCCTGGCGACAGCATATGCTTTTCATTTTGTGGGAGCCTACATTAAAAACACCTATCATCGTATTAGTGGAGACATCAATGAAGGGGATCTGAGTGAGCTGCCAGAGGTAGTGTGTCCTCTGATTTTATGTAAGGTTTCTTTACAGCATGGGAGAAAAGGCAGCAAGCCCTTTTGGGTTTTGCTCATGAGACATCTTGTAATTCTTTAGATTCAGAGATCTCAAGACCAGTATGTGCAGGTGACTCTTATTTCTTTATTTGCACTATTTATTTAGCAGGCCTTTACCAAAAAAAACAGGAAGTGATGCACAGTGAGGAAGCTACTGAGATTGTTTTTTTTAAAAGGTGTCTTTCCAAGAATGATGGTGTATTGCTTGAGTGAAGTTAAGTGGTCTTACGCTTGTGCTGTAGCTTCTTGATTGTTCTTCCAAGTTACTAGGGTGGAATTGGTGTGTTAATCCAAGTTACTATACTGAGAGGTTAGGGTTATAAAATGTCAAGTTTTCAGTTAGGGATTCTATCTGAGAACCCAAGTGTGGCAATAGGCAATTAAAAACAGTCTTGTATATAATGTGCAGAGACAGAAAGGATGGGGTACTCAGAAGGAATCTTTACATGTAGAGAGGCTTTTATATAAATAGTTCAGCTCAGGAAAGAGTCCTTACAAGAAAAACAAGACCCTGTGGGACACCGGAAGGATGATGTTGACTGGGCGTTTTAGTACTTAGCATGTATGCGTGCAAGTTGAGAATGGAAAATTAAGAAATCTAACCTAGCTTTGCTTTTGTCCATCAGCTCCACGCACTGACAGCAGGGCTGAAGGCATTCACTTCCTGGACTGCCAACGCTGGTATTGAGGAGTGTCGGATGGCATGTGGTGGGCATGGCTACTCTCGCTGCAGTGGCATTCCTGACATCTATGTCACATTCACCCCATCCTGCACCTATGAGGGAGAAAATACAGTCATGATGCTGCAGACAGCAAGGTATGGTAGCTTCTCTACAGAGACATTCTTGCCTTGGCATTATGGTCTTTGTAGCTGAAGGGGTGAGCAGAAGAGTATCCTTTATTACCATGAAACTGCTGTCTCACACTTCTGTCTCTTGCCTTATTTTTGACAGAAAAGTATATGCCTACAACTGTTTGCTAGTCTGACCCTAGATAAGATGACTTCTCTCCATTCAAACAACTCATGAGATCAGAGTTGCTATTTGTTGTGTCTGTTTGCAGGTTCCTTGTCAAAAGCTACACCCAAGTTACTTCTGGGCAGCAGGTTACCGGTATGGTGTCCTACCTTAACGATCTCTCCAGGCAACGCATTCAGCCACAGCACGTGGCTGCCAGGGCTGTGACTGTGCGGCTCAACGATCCTGTCAGCTTGGTAGAGGCCTACAAAGCACGTGCTGCCCGGTGAGTTCACATAGGCCAGACTGAACTAAGCACCAGTAAAGTTGTGTGTCTTGGGGAGATGGTAGCAATGCGCTGCCCTGTTAGTGTTAGATTTTTAAGATGTGGTCTGTAAAGCTTGGCTCCATGTGTTGTTTTCAAGAAATGACACACTTTACTACCTCAGACCACTACAGTGCTAAGTGCTCTGAGGTTACAAGAGGCTACCTACAGCCTCTGCATAGCCTAGTTATTCTGCTCTCTTCCACTTTGATATCTCTCTTTTTAATTTAAATGTAAAGTGTATTCAAGCATACAAATACTAACGTTGTTCAGACTACTCAGAGATCTATCTGGAGAGAAACTACCCTGATATTAAAGCCTGTGGTGAAGGAAGTGTGAAAGTAGAACAGATACCTACTTGCAAGTAAGTATTCAAGCACCAAAAATGTGCTGTCAAATGTCATCTTACCCCTCTAGCTGTGTTCCAGCTGCAGTGATGATGGGGGTTTGAGAGCCACAACTGCCCACTCCAGGCAATGTATTCAGTTGTGGCACATGACCTCTGAGTTCTGATGTGTTAGATGAAATGCATATGAATTCAATGTACATAATCTTGTTAATGTGGTGTTACTACTGTATAACCTGTTTTTCTACCTTTTATCAAATAGGCTTGTGGAAGCTGCAGCAAAGAATTTGCAAGCTGAATTGAACCACAGAAGGAGCAAGGAGGATGCCTGGAACAGAACCTTCTGTTGATCTTGTGAGAGCGTCTGAGGTCAGTGATGTGCCTGATAAAGAAATAGACTGTAAGAGCTTCTCTTCATGAACCTGATTCACCTTCCTTTCATCTCTTGTAGGCACACTGTCACTATGTGGTAGTGAAGCTTTTCACAGCAAAGCTGTCTGAGGTCAGTAATGCAGCTGTCCGTGCTGTCCTGACTGAGCTGTGTCTCCTCTATGCGCTGTATGGCATCAGTAAGAACACAGGGGATTTCTTGCAGGTTGGTGTCTTTCTCCAACACTTCAATTTCTAGACCCAGAGTCACTGTTTACAAAGATGCTTTAAATGCAAAGTTGCACGAATGGTTCGATGTAAGGTCTGACTTCCAGAAGGCCTTCAGCAGTGTGGGTCTGATGGAAGGCTCTTGTCAAGTTTCCCTTGTGATATGCCAGAAACAGAGTTGGATGATAAATGGTAACATAGTGTCTGTCTAGGTTAGCTTAAATGTTTTCCAGTCAGTGACCGGGTGGTGTATATTAAAAAACAAGGCATTAATAAAGGAGATGTAAGTTAGACATCATCGGGGGCCTGTATGTGTTGCTACATTAGTGCACAAAAAGGGAAATATTGGACTCCAAACCTTAACCCATCCTTCAGTGAATGGGTTTGAATTGTCAGGCATTACTTCTTTTCATTCTTTCAGTTTGAGAATGTATTTGTGCAGCAGTGTTCTGTTTTGTCTTCAGGTAGATGTTGTATGTTTTCCTCTTTGCTGCTTACCAAAAAGTTCCCTGAAACCAGGAAGAATTTAATACACACATAGGCACATTCTTCAAGAAAACTTGCTTCTGAAGTTAACATACTACAAAATTAGTCTCCCATCAAAGATTAAATAGCTAAGCAGTATGGTGGGCTGTGCTAGGCATCTCCTTTTGCCTGTACACTATGGCAAATTGGCAATATACTAACTTAGCACGTAGAAAAAAACCCTAGTGTGTTAGGAACTGCTGCATTTTGGTGTGTGGGAAGGCTGATCTGTGTTAGACCATAGGGGGAGGGAAGGTTCTTGAGACTTGCATACTTTCTGATAATTTCCCACCCCCATCCCCCCCCAAGGCAGGTATTCTGACTGATGCCCAAATTACTCAAGTGAACCAACATGTGAAGGAGCTCTTGGCTACAATTCGTCCCAACGCGGTGGCGCTGGTAGACTCCTTTGACTTTCATGATGTTCATCTTGGATCTGTGCTTGGCCGGTATGATGGCAATGTCTACGAGAACATGTTTGAGTGGGCAAAGAAATCCCCACTGAACAAAACAGAGGTAAAGAAACTTTATTTATTTATCTTAGGTCACATGTGTCCAGAGAAACAAACCCAATTTGGGGTTTTTTAATTTTGATCCAGTGATCTTGGGGCATAATTGACAAAGGGGGAAGAACAGTCAGTAGTGGTAATAAACCAAAACTAGCAACCTAATTGTCTGTTTTCATTGTCTGTTCTTCAGTTACTCTCTGGTGTGTAGCTCACATGCATCCCTGTGGGATACTTTTGCATTTCTCAGTTGAGGGAGGAAGTGATAGTCTCACTAGAGAAACAATGGGATAATCTCATTGAATTTAGAAGAAATTATCACTTGCTGTTAATTCTGCTTTGTAACAGTAGCTGTGAAAACCCTACCTGTTTTCTGGCAAATCTTCCCGTGCCTTCGGGCAGTAGTAGTGTCTGGAAAAGAAAATAAATTGATCTCATGTAGTACTTAAGTGTCAGATGTTGCATATCTGCCCTAAGGCTGTAGCTACAGCTAAACTAATAAAAGAAACTTTGCTGGGAAGAGTCAGTGTCCCTCTCCATCAGCCAAAACAGAACTCTAAGTCCTGTCTTGGTGGTCTTTACTGCCTTTATTTGATTTGGACAGACTATCTGCTACAAAGGGTTGCCAGAGACTGTGATTGCATTTAAATCCCACCAGAACTTGCTCAATTTTTTGTGCTTCTGAAGTCAGTGGGGCTTAAGAGCTTAATTACAGTCCCCTTAGGAGACCTCTGCCAGTTTTCTTGGAATTAAAATGGCAGAGAATTGTCTGTATGGATATAAGATGTCTTGCATTCTTTTTTCTTACAAGAAAGGTAGTGAGGAAGCTGTTTCTTCTGTCTTATATTCTCATCCTTTGTGTCATATAGACACTCAAATATAGGATTTAGCTGGCTTAAATCCCCCAAAATGCCTCTGATTAAAATTTCCCTAGTATAAAAACACACTGCAAGATGTAAAGAGCTAAAATTGTTTTAAAGGTCAGGTCTGACCTTGTAACTACTCTCTTGTTCTCTTACAGGTTCATGAGTCTTTCCACAAACACCTGAAGCCGATGCAAGCCAAGCTGTGAAGCCTGCTGGTTTGGGTTTTTTTTTTAAATGCACGCTTCTTCTGACCTGAAAACTGGGTGTTTTCATCCTTTTTTTCAGGCACCTAAATCAAACCTTTCAAATCCTGGTAGCTGTAGGACAGTGACTAATTGTAGCATTTCTTTCCACTTTTATAAATCGAGGAGGTGTTTGAGGAGAGTGCATAGGGATTGATGCCTGTTTTTAAAGTGCAATTATAATGGTAAAATTAACCTTTTAAAAATCTGGGAAAGCTTTATGGATTCATACAAGGATTGCTTTTGTGAAGCTGCTAACTAGAGAGAAGTTACTGTCGACTGGAAAGGTAGCAGGATTTTTTTATTTTACTAAATAGTTAACAGCCCTCAGGTAATAGCTTCTAATGAGCAGTTATGTCCACCCCCAAGAAGCATCAATGTCATGATTTTTTTTTTTTTTTAAGATTAGCACCACCTCTCTCCTTGTTTGGCAAATAGTTAATGCTATCTAAAGCCTCCTGCATAGCTTTGTGCACATGAGTCTGCATGTGGCACTACTTCCCTGATGTAGCTGGGAAATAAATACCCGTCCTTCTCTGGAGCTCTGCTTCATTCATCTTTCCAGAAGATATCTTCATGTTTTCCAGTACCACCTCCTCCTTCCACTGCCCTGCAGAAACTCCTTTTGCCTGTGTGCCATCTCTAGCACTGGCACCTTACTCTTTTTGTTAATGCTGCTCTGAGGAAAAAAACAAGTAGAACTAATCAGCTACATGCTGATAATAGATGTTCTGCCATTCTTTTAACAGTTAGTATTTTTGTAGCACTATCTCAAAGCACTTTACAAACTTTAATTATGGTGATTTGATGTGAAAAACCACATGTAGTGGTAGAAACTGCAAATTTGACCTGGAATGATGAAGCCAGTATTTGACAGCAGAAATCAGTTGACCAAGGTCCTTGGTCTTCAGATTGTTCTAGGATGTTCCTCTGTTTTTTAAAGGCATTCTTCAAGCAGATGACAATCCCAAGTGACATGACCAGATTTTTTTCCTATCCATGCATTTCCAAGGAGCTTTCTCCAATTTGCTTAGTTTTGTTTTTATATTGACTTGGGACTTGCACATTGCTGTCTGGATTTAACAGGTGGAAGATTTAGCTTGTAACAGAACCTCCTGATGCCCAGTGAAATGAGTGCAACTACAACTAGGCAAAATCATTGCTGTTTTTCAAAACCAGTAACTGTCCAGTAACAATAAAACCTCTCTTCACAACAGATAAGCGCAACTTTGATCTTAAAATGATGAAAAGCTTCAGCATAAACCCAAATCCTGCAATTTTGAGGCAACATCTGAGAAGCTGGTTCTCTGGCAGCTTTGGTATCTGTTAATCTCTAATTTTGGATCAGTTTCCTTGGATGAGTTTTTCCTGGCACTAACAATGATCAGACACAGTGTTTGGCTCTACATGCAGTAGCTGAACAGAAATAAATGTTTCATTTTAAATAAAATAATTAAACTTGCCTTTTGGCTGCTGAGTCTTTCAGGTCGAATGGAACCGCTGCTGTTCAGGATACCAGAGGAGGCAAAGGGCTTTACCTTCCCTTTGTTCAATAGAGCAGACTGCTGACCTGAGGAGGGATGATGGAGGAGCAGGCTAGAAATATGTTAAACAGTACTGGCTAACTATGTACAGATTTAATAAATTACAAGGATGTGTTTTCAGACAAAATGTCTTTCATGCATTGCCTTCAGTGGATCTTGTTTAATGAAATGGGTGGAGTAGAATGAAGTATTCAAAAGGCCTTAAATTTAGTTGGATTTTATTTGTTTTATTTCTAGGCTGAGCTTTCTGGCTTTGCTCTGCAGTGTTCTAGAGCAGCCAACCCCATCCCCCAGCTGTTCTCGCCTCTGCTGCAGCTCTCAACCACCTGAGAAAAACTGGCAGAGCAAAGCTGTCTGTGGCATGTTGCTGTCTATTGTTATGGTTCACAGGCCAACAAAGGCTCATCACCGCCAACAGCAAAGATTTAACAATAGTGTCTGGCAGCAGGAGCTTTAATTCATAGAAGCAATTTCTTTAAAGCTGTTTCCCTCTTTTTTTTTTTAGTAGATAGTGATGTAATGACAAATGCCATCCAGGGGGAGGATATTGTACACTCCTTTTTCCTCTTGCTGCTGTTAGCGGTGTTACCTGAATGCCACAACCTGATCTGACTTGCTGTGTCTCGTGGTCAGCAAACAGCGTTCCGACCCTGTCAAAGGGGCCTGCGTCCTTGTGAGGATTTGTCCATCTCTGGACAAAACACGATGGTGCCATTTCCACAAGAGTTGAGCCTCTTGCACTCGAGGATAAGTGACTTCAGTGTCAAGTAATGACACGTGAGCTACACTGTTCTTGAAGAGTGCTGAAAGGAGTGCTCTGTGATCGTGGTTTCCAGTCTGATTTGAAGGAGTGCCTCATAAAAACCGTCACCTTTTGGTGAAGGCTGTAGAAGGAGCCCTTGGGCAGTGCCAGCTGGGGTGTTCGGGGCTTTCCTGGGCCCAGGCTGGAATTGCTGGTGCCGCTGGGACCAGCGACTGCCACACTGGGCAGGCCCGAGGGCTGGCCTCGAGCTGTAACCCCCAGGGCCTGGCCTCGGGCAGGTACCTCCTGCTTCAGCTGCTTTTGGGGTGGCTGGCGAGGAGGAGAGTGTGATTCTCCTTTAGCAATGAAACACCAAGACGGGGCTTTAAATCCCCGTGGGGCTGCTGATTTGTGCCCACGGCAGCTTGCTGTCTCTGAAGGCACGTTTTGGGGGTGCAGCAAACCCCCCGTCCCCCGGGTGTCCGACTGGAGCGTCTCCCGGTGTCCAGGGTCTGTCTCAGCCCGCGGGGGTGTCTGTCCCTTTAAGAGCCGCGCGGGACGGCAGCGCGGCGCGTGCGGAGCGGCGGCCGTTGGGCCGTTGGGCGCGAGGCGAGGCGGAGCGGCGGCAGGGGCTCCCCGGGACGGCGGCGGGACTCGCTCCTTCGTGGGCTCCTGGGCAGCGCCGGAGCCTTGTTCCGAGCGGGAGGGCGAGGCGGAGCAGCGCGGCGCCGGCCGGGCGGGCTGAGAGCGGCCCCGGCAGAGCAGGAGATCGCGTGGGCCGGCGGAGGCGGCGGGTGCCGCGGGCCGGGCCGGGCGCTGAGGAGACTCTTGTGCCCCTGCAGGGAGCGGTGGAGGCGAGAGCGGCAGGAGCCGGGAAGGCGGCGGGAGAGCGGGGAAGGCCGGGCCGCCGCGGTGGTGAGTGCGGGGAGTGCTGCGCCGGCCGCTCGGTTCGGGGGCGGGAGGGGCTGTGCTCGCCGCTGCCGCCGGGGTTGGGGTCTCTCGGGGCTTGGGGCGTTTGAAGGGCCGTTTCCCAACTAGCGGGGGCGGGAGGGGCTTTGCTGTTGTTTGTGGGGTGCTCTGGAGACCCCTGCCCCTGGCTGCGTCGTGTTCTGAGGAGGAGCAGCCAGACCCGTGCCTTTCTCTAACGAGGGAATTTATCGTTCTCCGTAGGCTACGAAACCCCAGAGCAGTTTCCGCGGTGGGTAGCCTGGGGCGCGTTCCCGTCGGTGCTTTGTTGTGGTGGGAATGCGGGGCCAGAGTTGGGGGCAGCGGGCTCGGGTGAGGGTCCAGGGTACGGCGATGGGTCTGGGTCCTTGACTGAGAGATGCAGTTGAGGGCGTCATCTCATTCCTGAACCAGAGACACTCCCCTGCCTCTGTCGCCGAGGGGGTTTTCTTATCGGGGTCCTCTAGTCCTTTCCTGCGAGCTTTCCCTAATCCAGGGCAGAATATCTGCCTTTATTTCAGTTCTTCGCCTCACCTAAAGCCCAGGTGCTTGTCTGGGGGCCTCTGCTCTGATTTCTTTGGGGGGTGGGGGGGTGGGTGGTAAGACAAGCCCAGCTGAAACTTCAGAGCCACCCGCAGTCCAGATGCCCCTGCACACCGCGGCCCCAGTGCAGAAGAGGAAGGAGCTCGTGTTTGAAGATGATGACGATGACCTGATGGATGCACTGGGACTTGGCAGCAGCCCAGGAAGAGATGTCAAGCAGTGCAAAAATGCAGAAGAGTAAGGACAGTGAAGGGGCAGCGGGAGTAAAGGAGGGGATGGCTTATGTCTTGAGATGGTGCCACTGTGGTGGGTGGGGGATGCTGAGCTTGCGTCTGTGGGTCCTTGAAAGGGGCAGGAGCAGCCTTGTGTGGCAGAGAAGAGTCAGAGCAGGCTGGCAGGGCTGTGTGGGGAGGAACAGCCCTGCCTCTGGGAGAAACCAATCTACCGCTGTGTCCCCAACAGAGAGGAGGTCCGGCCAGCCCGCGCCAAGCTGGAGGAGTTGCTGGGAAGAGGCTCCGTGGACAGAATGCTGGAAGAGCCAGGCCTGGGAGAGCGCCAGGAGGTCAAACTGGCAAAGGAGTTCCAAAAGCAGCCAGGTGAGCAGAGCCAGGGA